CAGCCCCTATACATAAATATATGGCAGAAGATTTAGAAAATGTCTGAATAGATTTTAATCAGATTGTGCCACTTTGATAACTTCTGTAAAGAACAATCAACACTTAATATATTATCAGGGATATGTTGTAGTCATGACGATGTCAAATATTTTTACAAACTTACATTTTTCTGTAAGTTTAACAGTTAACAGGAACTAAATTGAAATGTGAGGAGCTGAACGACAAATGAATCTCATCAAAAAAAGAAGAAAACAACTATTAATCTAGCCTTTTGCAAAAACCACTCGATGAAAACATCAAGAGCAAGGTATGAGTTTACTTAAAATAACCACTTTGTGGAGATTTGTTTTTGGAAACAAATAAATCCTACAGAAACTCATGTACGTAGTGTGATATGTCACTATATTTTATGAATAATATATACAAATCCAATTGAAGGCACCCAAGAGGGATCCTAATCAAATTTTTTGAACAACCTTAACTGCTCCTTTCGAAACAGAGAAGCTCTACTGTGAGCATCTGTGGAGCGCTTCACCATCTTAGGGTGACCCAGCTGCTCAAAAAGAAATCTCCATTCAGTCACTTGAGGTCACATTGTGATGATCCACATCTTCTGACCATAGATAAGAGCAGGAGCAAAGATGGACAGCAAAAGTCAAGAGTTTTATACTTGTTGGTTCAGTCGTTTCTTCACTCAGCTGATCAACACAGTGGTGCAGATGAAGTCCATATATTCATCGCCTGCTTCCTCCCATCAGTAACCATGAACACCACTCCAAGATAGTTGAACTTTTCAGCTTATGGCAAAATCTGACCCCTAATCTGGAAGGAACAGTCCATCTGGTTGCAAACCATGACCTGAGGAGTTCTGGCCTTCCATCCCAACACGTCTTTCTGTTGCTGGTTAAGATATACAACCAGTCTAGGACAACTTTGCCGAACCAACAACATTTTGATTTAAAAGTAGAGGATAACAATACAATGGTCATAATTTACTTGCTGTGGTGGTTTGTCAAGTTTTAGTCATTCATAATGTAATCCCATTATGTCAACCACATCTGGTAAAGCAACTGTACAGAATGTTGATCCAAAATCCTAATGGGAACAACAATACTGCAACAACAAGTACTGCTTGTATTCAATATTGTGTCCTATCCATGATCAGCATGTTGCCTACCTAAGTTGTATAAACTTTGAAAAGGGTTGATATTTTAGAGCTGCAGTGAGGTTCAAGCTGAAGGGGAGAAATAAGAGGTTATACAGAACAAACAGAGGATGGTGGTTTGATACATTCACTGTTGGCTTTGGATTTATTCTCTCTGCCTTATCCTTTGACATTTTAATGCTAGTTCCAGCAAACATTTTACATCCCATTTAATCCCAAAGCAGCAGTTTTTCCTTTTTGTTCCATCACAGAAAATCCTTCGGCAGAGTTTATATCCGCCACGTCAGCAGAAGCTCTGCGAGAAGCATTTAGGCATCTAGTCATTTTATGGTTAAAGAGAGCTGCAGTAAGCCCGTATGATAGCAGGTGCTGTACAACATCGCACGAAGGTGGAGACTTTTATGAATTACAGATCTGTACATGTCTTTGCAGACATCGGCCAACTTGCTGCTGCTCTGAAAGGAGACAGGGATTTCAGGAAAGCTATACAATTCAAATCTTTTTTTTTTTAGGCATTAAGTGCAACTTGGGAACCACCAAACTTGCCGTTTTTGACAGCTAGTTTAAAAATATTTCAAACTGAAATATTTTAATGGCTATATTGTTGGATGCAAAGCTCATACCACAACAAATCATCTAATTTTGACTATCTGATCTAATAAAATCCTTAGTGTGTAAAGGTAAAACCACTTCCAAGTGTAGCACAAAAATCTTAATGTTTTAGGATAAACTCATCACATATTCTTACAGCATTTCCATGCCAATCTTGAAAGTGAGGCCACACTCTGAGAAGCATGGAAGTGATTCAAAGATCCTGGATGCAGACCATGTGTTTGTAGCGGAGTGGGCGTGAAGTTGGCTTCAACTCAACTCATCCCGTCTCCCACATTTTCTGTCAATGACTAAACTGTGTAATTGAGTCAAGATTGCATTAAAATTAGCAATGAAAGGATGAGGGCATGAATAACTTCTTCCCGCTGACTGACGTTCACAGCTGTCTTCATTTATGCTCTTGGGGCGGCACAGAGCTCATCCTTAGCTAATCAAACCCCAAGTGCAATTACCCCGAGGGCTAAACACCTTCAAACTCGCAAATGAGACACATTTAATGCAACTTTACACCTTTAATGTGCTAGAAATATGCATAAAATGTGATGGATGCACAGCAGATGCAGACAGCATCTGAAGGCATTGATTTATAATTCATTTGGGTGAAATGTCAGATGAAATTTAGGATGCATCAAGACTAGGGCTGACTCTGCAAATCAGTTTTTAACCCAATCAACTGTTAATCAAAGCTAATTTTTCTGGAAAAAAAAGAAAAAAAAGAAAAATCAGTTTCCTTTACCATTTGCATTTAATATTGTGCAGCTCGATCTTTAAAGAGTTTGATTAATACATACTCAAATCCATCATGTTTAAGGTTCAGAACTTTGCATTTTCCCTTCGCACAAATGGCGTAAGTAAGGTAAATTACCAGAATTGTGTGAAAAATCTTTAAAAGTTCAATGATAACCTTTAAACAAAAATCAAAAAAGCCCAAAGAACTATATATAAATTGACTCGAGACCGAAGTCCTTTGCACAGTACTTAGTATTAATGCATTAAAATCAGATGCAGCCAAGCCTATGTGGGCGCGTTTTATTTTTAAATTGATTAAATTCTCAGTGGAGTTTCGTTTTCAGACTTTCTGCCCGTCTCATCTTGTCTGTCCGTAAATAATGAACCAGCCACGTTATTTTTAGCAGAGATGAGAGCCGAGCTCCCTTAGATATTTTTCTGGGATCTCTCCAAAACTCAGCGCAAAGTGGAAATACAAGCATCAGCTTAACTGGCTGTGGTAGGAAGAGCGCTTCTTAACATCTGTTCCAAAACAGAGGTCAGACCCACAAAATACTGCTTTAAATAACTAATCAGTGCATTAAAGATTAAGATTTTCGTTTTGACAGAGCAACTTCATATATCTTGAAAAACATTAAATCTACCTGTGAACTTAGCCTAGTGTTCATACTTTATTTTTCTGGATGCGCTGAATGCAACAAGCTCTGACAAAATGACATTTGAAATTTCTTGTGTTATGTCATGAATTTCCAGCATCAATGCATGTGAATTGGTTAAAACCAAAAATACAAAATTTTAAGTGTTACAACCATATTTGGTTACAATTTTCCTGTTGGACAATCCACCTGTGTCGCAGTTTAATTATGAAGCCGACTTTACAAGGGAAAAATACATTTTTAGGTCACTTTCTCCATTTTTATGCACAAGTTTAGCAAAACAGCACCACAGCTTATAATACTATCACCATGTTGACATTTATTACAGCTTGACCCAACACACTTTTCACTATGACCAAACAGCTCAATCCCTGTTTTTTTTCTCTCTCTCAACTTGAAGGTGTTAATTTTTGTCAGCTCTGTCTCAGGCCACAGTGACATTAAACTGGCTTCATTGTGGACAACAATGCTGGTGTTTTTTTTTTTTTCCTTCATCTTCAGCTTTGCAGGTTCCTGAACATCCAACCCAATATGCTTTCATTTGAGGGTGACAGTTTGGCAACCAGGTCAAATATCCAACCATCTTGAATGTCCACATAGTAGTTTTAACTAATGATCCTAGAGTTTACGTTTAAAATGACTAAAAGGATATTTACGAAGTTCTTTTGACGTTTCCACTGTTTGGAGTATTGTGTCTTGCTGCATAAGCCAAGTCAGTTTCATCTTCAGGTGATAATTCATAGAAAATGCTAAAGGAGATTGTCTGGCCGACAGCAGGATTCACTGTTCAATCAATTAATGCAAGCTATCCAGGTCCCCATAAAGTGAAGTATGCCAATAAATAAACACACAAACGGATAAATAAAACACTACCACTACCATGTTTGACTATGACAGTTTTTTTTATGAAGAGTTGTTAGATGTTTTTTTGCCAGATGTCATAAGACACTTTATTCCATACAATATGTTGTTTCAGTAATCAAGATGTTATTTTGGCAATTATTTGGATTATTAGATCCTGTCTCTGGTGGAAATCTAAAACCTTGAAAATGATTTAGTCTAGTGACCATTTCTCATCTAATTTTGATTTATTTAGATCAGGGAAATGTGTTGTGACATCTTTCATGTCAGACAAGTTCTGTGAAAGTGGTTATACATGCCTGGCACCAATTGTGGCTGGGCAAGGCCATTTGACTTGGGTATGATTTAACAAAGGGGTAAATTAAATTTCAATACATAGCCAGGTTCCTCTGTATAGCTTTTGTTCTTTTAATAGATGAAATCATTTGAAAACTGCAGCTTGCATTTAGTCAGGTATCTGTTTTTTATACCAAAATAATTTTCACAAAATGTAGAGTGTGGAAAAAAAGGCTAAAAAGACATTATTTGGGAACCATTTTTCACAGGACTGCTTTTTAACGCCTAATCGTACCATTATCAACTCAGAGCTGGTGCATGTAGACCGACTCTAAGCCATTGCAACAAAGTCCCTCAATATAGTTTATTACAATTATGTTGTGTTTAATATTTGCCATCACTACTAATTTATTACAAAAGGCAGAAAATACTGAGTTAGATGCAAGAACAATCTATAAAAAAAGAAAGATTGTATGGCTCAAGTCTACCAAAGATGTGAAAAGCTGATTTTAGCAGTATGTAATGCAAGAGTTAAAACAGTTAGCAGAAACATGTGTGCCAACAATGTGACCAGCTCTAAATGCAATGGAGAAAAGGCAAGCAGGCATGCAAAAAACACAATGGAGTTATCCTATTAAGAGACAAATTCGAACAGAGGCACAGATTTACGCTGCAACACAAATACAATACCAGCACTGACCTTGAAGCTCCAGTAGTTTGGTTGTTGCTAAGGGGGGAGAAAAACAAAGAGGAAAGAAGATAGAAGGGACAGGGAGGGGGGCACAAGGGGAGAAACAGGGTAGAGAGTGTGAGACTTTGTGTTCATGTATCAAGCTGTAAATACCACACTAAGAAAGAATGACCAAAACAAGAGCTGGTTAGATCCAAAATCTGACTTTGTTACTCAGTTTCCATGTGAAAATATGCAAGTGATAACAACACTGGACAAAAGACAAAAAGATAGATGCCTCAGCAGGTCAACACCACTTTTCATCAAAGAATATTTGTTAAGTTTATATAAGTTTACAAGAGAATTCTCAAAAAAAGTGTAATAAAACCTAGTCTTTATTGCTCATTTCTATGCAGGTAATGTATAGACTAGATGAGGTCCTTGAGGACAATTGTTCTCCCTCTTCTAAAAAAAAAAAAAAAAAAAAACCAACCCCCCCCCCTAAAAGTTTAAAAACAACACAAAGCTAGTCTGGCTCTGATAGAGACATACACAGAAACACAGATATTTTGCAAAACTAATATTTTCTGCTGCATATACTCCTTCCATTCACATGCCAATTAGGTTTTAGTGAGAAAAAATAAATACATTTTGAGAAAAC